TGTTGCTGTTGCGCTGGAGGTCGACCTGACTGGTCGCTAGGCTGCTAGGTTCCAGATGTAAACACTTTGCCATTGCTACTTTGCATCCTGTATTCTCAACTTTTGCCATTGAAACTCATGCAGTTTTGCCCTGTGAACGAAGTGCTAGGGAACCCAAGGAACGCTACGATCATTCGTACCGCCCGTGTTTTTCCCATAGTCCAGCTGCGTTGTAAAGTAACTCTTCGCATGGTGTGGTGAGCGTGGACGGCCCTACAGGTTACCCTCGGATAAGTAGTTGACTTATCACCTACCTAAGTTGTTCGTAGGCCGGCAGTTCGTGCTGACGTCGGGAGAAGCCGGCAGTGTAGAGGACACCTTGGAGATGCCATATATTGTATGTCGCTTGCTCGACTATTTCGCTTAGTACGCAAGTTCTCTTCCTCATTATGTTTGTCTAAGCCTATGTACCAAGGCACAAAGCGTTCGGGAGCCAACAAAGATATTCGAGATGACTTCTTCTGATGAACCTAGGACAGCCAAGCTTGCAAATCTTTGGGTTCACAAAGCTTTTCGTGCATTTTTTTGTGGCAGCTTCTTTACTTAACTCAGGTTCGTTCCGTTAGGACACCACCGCAAGCAACATTATTTGTCTGTGTGTCGCTTCCGCTTGCTACACAAGCTGTGTCATAGCGGACCGGCGACGGTGCCTACGTTTTCATGTATGTCGCTTGCTCAGCTATCTCGCTTAGTACTTCATGCGGATAATGTTAGGAGACGCCATACGGCTGGCGAGTTCGGCGAGGTTCCGTTGGAGTGGGCACTCCTAGGCACTCGCGCGCAGTGGGCGTGCGACCACCCGCCTCCCCGTGCTACAGCAGACGATGCGTCCGCCTCTCCTCCACCGTTACGCAACGAAGGCAGCATTGACGAGCTGGTCGACGGCGGTGACCAAGTCGGCAGCGACGAGAGCACAAGGGCGTCAAGATGAATGATCAGGCATGCTGACGTCAAAGTCGGTGGGATACATGCACGAGTGCAGCGGTCGACACGGACGCGGGCAGCTCGCACGGCGACGTCGACGGTCGACTTCGCTCCCCGCAACGGAGCGGAGTCAGGCCGGGCTCTTCAACGCACGTGTCGGCGGGCGGGATCGCGTCGGCGTACAGCTACTTGAAATTTACGACGGACAAGATTGATGTGCCCGTGCTTCTGGTGGGTCGACATGATCTTCTCATGTGGAGGGAGTCGATCGAGCCTCAGCTGGAGATTGTCGGGCTGAAGTGCTTCGCCGACGGCAACGTAGAGACGTCAGATGTGGTTGTCGTTGAGCTGCGGGCGGAATTCCGCACCGCTCACCTGCTGACCTACCTGGTTATTTCTTGATGCTGCTCGCTGATGGTGCAGATTGTCGTGAAGTCGGGTCGACTTCTGCTGGACTCCGGCCATCAGGCATGGCAGTTCATCCTGTCTTCGTACTAGTCTACCACCAACTTGTACATGGGTCAGGTGGGAGCACCTGACTCACCTTAGGATGGGCGAGCAGAAGTCAGCGACAGACTACTGCAACCGTGTTCGACAGATCCTGGCCGACATGCGGATGGTCGGCATTGACTATTCGACGGTGTCTTACATCACGCACGTCGTGAAGGGTCTTCCGTCGGGCTTCAACATGATGCTCCGGATGATGATGATTCGCCAGTCGCTAAACGAGGACACGCTGACCTCGCACATCAGCAAGGACGAGGCCATGCAAGAGGTCAGGAGGCCCATGATGCTGCTTCCGTAGGCGAATTACGCTACCCCGAAGAAGCAAGGTCGTCAACAGGGGCAGCGTGGGACGTCGAGCGGAGATGGTAGCGGAGGTGAAACGTCGGCGTCCGTCGCCGACTGGTCGAAGTTGGCATGGGACATCGGTCGAAGAAGCGATGGTCGACGACGCGAGTGCTGGATCTATGGCAACCCGACCACCTCTTTTTCGAGTGTCCCGATTGCGAAAAGTCCGAGGATGAAGACAACGGAAGCCACATGAAGTACGATGGTGGTCGTTGATGTCGAGACAGCCAGTCGCGAAAGGAGAAGTAGGCGTCGAAGTCGACGTCGTCGGCGAAAGACGCCGACTCCTCCTCCTGCAGCAAAGGTCGAGGCGATGGCGAGGCTGCGGAGATAACCCATACAACGGGAGCTCGACCACGGGATAGGCACGCTTGCAGTGGTGATCGTAGCGTTCCTTAATGTTTGCTCGTGTTCTCTCTACTTGCCCATTCATGGGAAAAAAATGGCAAAAGTTTCACTAGTAAACATTGACAACAATGGTTGAACAAGGCAAAGCAATACAGACTACATCAGATGCTAGCAAGCATGCAAGTTGACCTCCAGCACAGCACGGTCGGCCGCGTTCCAATGCAGCAAGGTCGACCGCACTCCAGCAGTGCGAGGTGGCAACCTGCCAGCGTTGCAAGTCAACGGCGTGCCAACGCTGCTGCAGGGCGGCTGCACAGCGTTGCACCTGCATGACAACAGCGCACCCGCTTCGCTGGTGCTCGCAGCTGGTTGGCGTTTTGTGCCCCATCACGTGCACAACGCAGACGCTAAGCCGACCACGTGCGCACGATTGCACCTGATCCGCCATGTCGACCTTGGGATACCACGTCCGAGGTCAGCTTTGCCTGAACCACCTGGGCGACGATTGCACAGCTCCGCAGATCCACCTCGCCTGGGTAACTTGATCGACCGAGCAACCAGGTCGACGCCACCAGGCCGGCATCCTCCCAGGTCGACTCCCTCCCTTGTCGACCTCCTCCCGTTGACCACAGCGGATCTGGGCCGCCGACTTCACAAGGTCGGCGACATCCCTAAGTTGAAGTCGGCCGCTAGCGCCCGTCGTCGGCGGCTTCGTAGTGGCCCCGTGCAGGTTGACCGACATGTCAACCTGCGCGCTCATGTCGATGTCGCCCACTGCAGTTGGTAGGTTGCACTCTCTGCACGCCCGACTAAGAAGTCGGCTCCACCCAAGCGAGGACGGGCCAACGCACAATTGCGGTTGACAGAGGCGTCGTGCTCGATGGTCGACGTTGTGGAGTCGACCGTATCGTCGGCATCGGAGATTGGCGAGGACTTCAAGGCGATCGCGGCCGCTATGCAGGCGAACTTTATGGTGGTGCTGGTGGCTGCTCTCACCATCTGATGGCGACAAAGGAGGCCTTTGTCAGAATCCCAGACACTAACCACTGGGATAAAAGGATTTGTTTGTGTAGCGGGTGAGTGCACCCATAACCCCCCAGGCCAACCTGCCTGTAACCTTTCCCTAGGATCAATCGGGGATCACCAGTGGACATCTGACACCCCCCGCACTGGGATGCCCGGAGTGCACACACTGGAATTCGAACCCAAGACCTTCGCCTTGATACCATGTCAGAATCCCAGCCACTAACCACTGGGATAAAAGGGCTTGTTTATGTAACGGGTGAGTGCACCCATAACCCCCCGGGCCAACCTGCCTGTAACCCTTCCCTAGGATCAATCGGGGATCACAAGTGGACCTCTAACAGCCTTGTCGTCATGCAGCCTAGGGGCGACGTGCGCCACGTGCGTGGCTTCAACGAGGCACTAGAGATCGTCGAAGGCCGTGGCACCGTCACTCTACACATGGAGGCCGGGAAACAGGTCCTCATCCTCGATGTGTTCTATGTCCGGGGAGTGCAGGCGAAGCTGCTCTTGGTCGCCCATCTGAAGGACAGCGGCGTGAGACTGCAGAACGCGGGCGACGAGATGCTGCTCGTGTCGTGTGCGGGCGAGGTGCTCGGTCAAGCACGCTACCGTACACTGGCTGCGTTCTCTGCACAGACTTTCGCCCCTGCTCGACGAAGCCGATGTCGATCTCGACGGAGGTCGTGACTCGGCGGACGATTGTTCCACGACGGCAGACAATTGCTTCTACGACAAAGTAGACGCCGAACAGCACGTGAAGCCCGAGGACGTCGGCGTCGACACGATCAAGAGCTTGGCCTTGATACCTTATCAAAGCGTCGGCAGATGTCAACTTGTCATGTGTTTCGTGCGTCAGCCGTGAGTTAGGCACATTCTATGAGGGTGTCCTACTTCAATACCAACCGTGCTAGGCAATCTGCTTTTAGTTTCGAATAGGCATTTGTATCACAACCGTTACTAATCATTCTTCCATTGTTCACATTCTGAAAAGCCTGGTCTGTAACCTCCACTCATCTGTAAAGGTATGTTTGTACGCCGCTATTAGGGCATGTTCCTAAGGCTCCTTACCGTATCAGGGATACCTCGTATCGGCTTCGCATTTTTGCCTGGTAAAATTTGACGCAAAGGTATTTGGGTTTAGGGAAATTTCAGTGTGCTATGACGCGAGCCTGATAAAAGGTTGACTTGATAAATAAGAACATGCCCTCAGACACATCTTGACAGTGTTGTGTGGTTAAATATGTTTCAGTGTAGACAACTTGCTATACTGTACGGTTAAACGCGAAGGTGACAACAGGTTTGCCTGACAAGGGGTTGTAACAACACGTTGTAACACATTCGCATAACCACCATCAACTATACACCCGCATACATCATCATCCTTGCTCTCCCAGTCATCCGACCTACATCCGGCATTGCTCACTCCCACAGCTTCTCCACTTCCTAGCTGCACATGCTTGCTGTGATATACAATGCAACAAGCTTCTGCCCATCGAGCTGCCTGCACCCTGAAATGTAACCCAGCCTGCGCAAGAACCAAGCCTACCAAGCCATTCACCCACACCTGCACTGCACACGACTCACACTCTCACCCTCACTCCTCCACTCTCTCACTCTCTCCCACTCTCTCCCAATCTCTTCCACTCTCTCCCTCACACCACACCAATCAGCATCACTCCTTGCTGGCCATCTGCTCACTGAGCTCCCACAGCTTCCCAGCCAGCCCCTTGTCCTTGCTCAGAACCGCCCCTTGCTCTTCTAGACGCCTCAAGAACCATTTTTGAAGCGTATTAAAAACACACCATTCAGCATTACTCCTTGTTCGCCATCTGCTCACTCAGCTCCCACAGCTTCCCAGCCAGCTCCATGTCCTTGCTCAAAACCGTCGCCTTGCCCTCGGCTGCCCGCGCGTCTGCGTAGTAGCCCCCACTTGCACCCGCCACTGAGGGGTGCGCCGCCAGGAAGCATGAGGTGGCCGCACCCTGAGAGAAGGGAGGAGAGGAGAGTGGGGAGAGGAGGATACGGGGCGGTCAGGTGGAGGTGCAAGGAGTGTGTAAGGGGGGGGGGGGGAGCGAGGCACAGGGTGTGTGCCTCGAGGCGGCACGATGCGAGAGTGGCTTGAGAGAGAGAGTGTGTGAGAGTAAGAATGGGCAGGGGGGAAAGGTTGAAAGATGAGGGAGCATGAGAAGTAGCCCCACTGGGCTTTGTTGCAGGGAGTGTGCACATGAGCATGGGGATAAGTTGGAACAACCATGCATGGGAAAGTACGCACACCCCCAACCATGCATGGGTGCGTGCGGGCACCCAACCATGCAGCAGTAACAGAGGGCGGTGGTGAGGTCAGGTGAGGTCGGGTGAGGTGAGGTGAGGGGAGGTGAGGTGAGGTGAGGTGAGTAGGGGTGAGGAGGGGTGAGGAAGGGTGAGGAGGGGTGAGGGGTTGGTGAAAGCTGAGGCAGCTCTTCTTCAATCACGTCAAATCGCTCTTGCAGCAGGGTTGGTTGGAGGCATATCAGTAGGGTGCAGAGTAATATAGAGTGTGTGCAGTGCGGTGAAGAGCTACTTTAACCACTCCCCTAAGGTAATGTACGGCAAAGTGCAGTGAGGCGAGGTATAAAGTAGGTGGAGGTGGAGGGTACCTGAGGAATGGTCTTCATGAACCACTGGAACACCAGGCTGTACGCTCCCCCTGGTGGTTGGTTGCACAACATGGCAGGGCAGCAGTGGACAGGCACAAGCACAGGACGAGTGGTAGTATGACAACAATGGGTGCTCAGCCAAGCCGTTGCAGAAGCAAGCTCCAAGCAGCGAGCAAGAGTTAGTGCAAAAGAACAAAGCATGCTTGTGCCAAACAGCTTCCATCAAACCATCAGCCCCTCAGACGCCCCTCCTTCCCCCTCTTTCTACACCACCTAATTACCTAGCCACCCCATCAACTATGTCCCAGGGTGTGCCTTGTAGAAGACACACCGGACAGTCGCTTACGGCACTCTGTAGCGCGAAAGGCTTTGCCTCGTTCCTCAAAGCGATATTGGCTCCGCGGAACAAGTTCGACACACGTCGCACTTGCTTTCGCGGACTGGTCTAACAGACCAGTATCAACCCCTGCCATTTTCCATGGCGGCCCTGTATAAATGGCTCCGACCCAATCGAACCAGGCCTCAGACCAGTTGTGTTACATGGTAACTATCTAGTGCACTTGCATTGTCCAAGATCTGGCTCACAGCTGGTTCACCCTGGTCCACAGACTACACTGCTTGGACCTCAGCAAACCAACGGTTCTGCAGACCCCATGTGGCATGCCCTAACGCACTCTGCCCTTCCCACCCACCCGCCTACCCACCCACCCGCACAGCACACCCGCCCACCGCCCCACGTACGTCCGAGGGTGTGCCAGATGGTCCCTGGTGGCACAATGTGACGTGAGAGGTTGGTGTCAATCACCCCCGGGTGCAACGCGTTCACTGTCACTCCTGCACCCTCCTCCTGCTCGCATGGATCAAGGGAGAGAAGGGAAGGGGAGAGAGGGGAGGAGGGAGGGTGATGGAGGGTGTTGGCGAGGGAAGCAGGGGGTTTTTCCATTGTTGAAGGATCGATCACCCATGGGTACAGAGCATTTACAGTCATACCTGCACTGAGGTTTTCAAAACAAACAAAAAAAAATCATAAGGGAGAGTGGGGAAGAAGAGGAAGAGATTTTTGGTGAGGAATTTGAGACGTAGCATGAAATGTGCTTTTTGGGCGCGTTTCCCCTGCCTGCTTCTTCCCTTCCCTCCCACTAATGCACACTCTCACGCACACATCCGCACACATACATACCCACCCACCCACCCAACTACACTCACACACACACCCACTCACTCACACAACACCCACATACCCACTCCTTCATACACACCCTCCTCTCCCACAGCCATGCACCTTGAGCCGCCGTGCGAGCTCCCGTGCGTGCAGGATATTAGCGAGCTTGGACTGCCCGTACGCCCTCACCGAGTCGTACCCCTCCTTGGCGTTGATGGCGTCAAAGCGGATGCCGCCCGGGTACGGGAACTGGTGCGCGGCGGAGGACACGATCACGATGCGCGCCTCTGCGCCCTCCTGCTTGGCAGTTTCCTTGAGCTTCGGCAGCAGCAGGTTGGTCAACAGGAAGTGGCCTAAAGGGGGTACGACGTGCGATGCAATTGGGTGGGGGGTGTGTGCAGGGGAAGGGGGGAAGAGGGTGAAAGGGAAGAGAGGGGGAGGGGGGGCGGAGGGACGGAAGAAAGGGGGAGAGGGAGGCAGTGGAGGAGTGGTGCGATCAGCCTGAGAGCTCCATGAGCTTAGGAATGCAACAAATGCACTCAAGCCTAGAAAGAGAACAGCCAACTGGTAGACTCTGCTTCACTCCCACCACTCCCATTCTTCCCTCACACTCCACCCCGCCACCCATGCTGTGCGCATGTAATCTGCTTGCTTGCCTCACCCACGTCATTGCTGCTCCCCTGCACTCACCCTCATGGTCGCTACTCCCCTACACTCACCCACGTGGTTGCCTCCCTGCACTCACCCACGTGATTGGTGCCGAACTGGTTCTCATGGCCGTCCGCAGTGAGCATGAACGGGCATATCATCACGCCCGCATTGTTGCTGCCCGGGGTGGGGTGGGATGGGGAGGGGTTGGTTGAGATTGGGTGGGCCGTGGTGGGATTGGTTGGGCAGGCGAGTGGGGGGTTGTTGCATAGGAAGTGACGAAGGGAAGGGGACGGTGGGGTGGGTTCGGGGAGAGGGGGAAGGTCTGAACGAGAGGAATAAATAAGGCGAAACAGTAGAATGACTAGCATAAAGGGTAGGTAGGCAGGGAAGCAGGGAGGGAGGGAGCGAGGGAAGGAGGGAAGTGTGTTGTGATGGGGCACGGGGCAGCATGGCAATGGGGCAGCATGGCAGTGGGGCAGCATGGCAGTGGAGCAGCATGGCAGTGGAGCAGCATGGCAGTGGAGCAGCATGGTAGTGGGGCAGCATGGCAGTGGAGCAGCATGGCAGTGGAGCAGCATGGCAGTGGAGCAGCATGGCAGTGGAGCAGCATGGCAATGGAGCAGCATGGCAGTGGAGCAGCATGGCAGTGGAGCAGCATGGCAGTGGAGCAGCATGGCAGTGGGGCGGCATGGCAGTGGGGCAGCATGGCAGTGGGGCAGCCAAACGAACGAACGAACGTGCGCACCGACTTGAGCGACGCCAAATCCAGCGGCATCACGCTCACGCGCTCGCGCACTGCCGCCGGAACCCCCGCCGCCGCTGCGCTCCGCCCCTCGATGTCCTTGATGATGGCGGCTTTGGCGGCCTCCCCCGCCTCCGTGTTCCGCACCGCGAGCACCACGGACGCGCCTCGCAGCGCCAGCACCCGCGCCGTCTCCGTGCCGATGCCGCTGCTGCCGCCTGGGGGGAGGAAATTCGCGCCAGAAGGGTGTCGGGAGAGGGGGAGGAAGAAGAAATTAGCGCGGCGGAAAGAGAGAGGGGCGACATGCGCGCGTGGGGAGAACATTGGCGCGAGGACGAGGTTCGCGCGGGAAGGGGAATTCGCGCGTGCTAAATGAATTTGGGCGCAGGGGAGGAGGAAGGCTGGAGTGGAGGACTGAATTTTTTTTCAGACATGGCACAAACAGCTTTTGAGGCGTCTTACACGCTTTTTCACAATGGCACGGGGAAGAGACTAGGGTGGAAAAGAGAGGGGAGTGGAAGTACGGGCAAGGACGAGAGGACGGGCGGACGAGCGGACGAGCGGATGAGAAAGATCAGTTTGATTGAGAAAGGCGAAGACGAGAAAGAAATGCAAGGGTGGTAAAGACTCGTTGGGTGGAAGGTAGGAGAGTGGGAGAGAATAGCTCACCCACAGGATCGATACAAGGGGATCAACCTGCTCTGATAGCATGTCAAGATGAGCAAGAATGAACTAAGTTTTACCAGGGCCTAGGCTTAGGAGCCTAGGCCCAACTAGGATATCGAGTAGTTTTGTGCCAAGGGTGAGGATCGAGAGAATTGGGAAGAATGAGTTGTCAGAATATTATCTTATGTTCTCTAGCGTGCAGTGGGGTACTCTATAGCGAGTATAACCCCTTAGGGTTTCGTATATGTATCTCCTTGCTTGCTAGTGCAACCCCCTCTTTTGCCTAACTTCTTCCTTGCCTAGCTAGGTTATTCCTAGCTATGGCTCCTACGGATTACCTCTTATCTTCACATGGTTATCAGAGCAGTAAGCTCCTGGCCTGTGTGCTTAACCACGAATCTTCCGCTGCAACTATTCCCTTCCTTTCCGCCGTCCGTCCCGAGGCGCGCGGCGATTTTTCTACCCGCCGTGCGCCCCGGGGCGCGCGGCGTTTCTCTTCCCGCCGTGCGCCCCGAGGCGCGCGGCAGGCTGCTGCCCCGTCACGCCATGCGCCGCCCCCGGGAAACACTGTGACGGGTGACGGGGACCTCCGCGTCGCCCCCGTCGCCCGTCGTGGCCTCTGTGCGGCCCGTACAGGCAGCGCGCGGCCTGTACGGGCTGCGCCAGACCCTCGCGCTGCCTGTACGGGCTGCGCCAGGCTCGGGCGCGGCCCGTACGGGCGGCGCCAGGCCCGCGCGCGGCCCGTACAGGCTGCGCCAGGCCGTCGCGCGGCCCGTACGGGAGGCGCCCTACCCGCCCGCGGCTCGGGCCGCATGCGCGCGGCTCGGGCGCCCCTACCAGGCCCGTGGTGGGCCCCTTTCTTACCTTCCCTGCCCTCCCCGCTGTTCCCAGTCCCTCTACTACCACCCCACCCCTTCTACTCCCCATTCACCTATATTCGGGTTTGGGGGTGAGGGGTATGGGGGTGCCCTTACTAAGCACCGCTCCCTGCTCCTCCTCCTCCATCGTCTCCTTGTGCTGCAGTTGCCGCTGAGGGGGGGGGGTGGTTGTGGTGGAGCCGGTGGAGTGATGCTCAGGGGGGGGGGGGGGGGAGGAGAGCTAGCGGTGTAGCAGTGGGTGTGTGCCAGGGGGAGTGGGACTGTTTGCGGGAGGTTGAGTGGAGGCTGCCAGCTTGTTGTCCGCAGCACCTGTAGTCCGGGGCGTTGTCCCGGTAGCCCAGTGAGCTTGTCCCTGCGCCAGTCGCCTGTGGGTCCGTAGCTCCTGCCGCTCGTCTTAGCCGCGGAGCCAGTTACTCCTGTAGTCCGGCCGCTTAGTCCGGTAGCCACTGTGCTCGCCACTCCTATTGCCCGTGTGTCTGCAGCTTCAGCCGCCGCCTTCTATCTCCTCTCCTCTCACTCTCCCTCCTCCTCCTCACTAGCCCGTTGTGACTACCACTAGCTTTGCTCATAATTGTGAACTCCAAAACTATTGCTTCTTGAACTTGTGCTCAGAATGTGTGGTGACATTGTGATCCACCCTGAGCTTGTATTGCTTTGCTTGCTCTGCTGATTACACCCCACTTTGGCTATGGGGGTGTGTCAGAATATTATCTTATGTTCTCTAGCCTGCAGTGGGATACTCTATAGCGAGTATAACGCCTTAGGGTTTCGTATATGTATATCCTTGCTTGCTAGTGCAACCCCCTCTTTTGCCTAACTTCTTCCTTGCCTAGCTAGGTTATTCCTAGCTATGGCTCCTACCGATTACCTTTTATCTTCACATGATTTCACTATAGGTTTCAAGGAACATATAGCATAGGAAACAAAGAAGGTGCACCACCAAACTAAGTTTATAATAACTACACGAACTACAGCTACAGGCAGTTACAAATATAAGTTCTGACACTCCCCCATAACTGCCTACAGCAGGAGTTTGTGCAGAATACAACCTGCAGGTGTGCACATGCAAAATAATAAACAAGCAACAGCAGGAACTGTAGGCGGGCTGACACTAGCTGGTCACCCCCTCCATCTCCTCACCCTCCTCCTTCCCCTCCCCCACACTGCTGCAGGAGCAGCAGAGAGGGGGGGAAGAGAGGAGAGGTGGAGGGACGGCTGCGGGTTGCCTCACACCCGCCACCCCGGTGCCACTCCCCTTGCTCCCCCACACCCTCACACCCTCCCCCCCAGCGGCAGCTGCAGCAGTGGGAACAAAAGGAGGAGGAGGGGAAGGGAAGGATACGACCCAACACTCCAACACCCGCCACCCCCATACCCTCCTCCCCACGGCTGCAGGGAGACAAAGGAGGAGGGGGTGGGCGGGAAGAAAGCCGCAGAGCAGCTACATTGTGTCGGCGCAGGTAGGTCAGGGGCGGCTGCAGGGAGAGCAGGTGCGGAGAGGGCCCGTCGCGTGCCACGGGGCGCACGACGGGCAAGTTTAAGTTTAGGGCCCGGTCGTGTGCCTCGGGGCGCACGACGAGCAGGGCAGCGTCGCGTGCCACGAGGCGCACGACGGGCAGGTTTAGGGCACCATCGCGTGCCACGCGGCGCGCGACGGGCAGAGAAGGAGTCACTCGCCAACCGGGGGCGGGACAAGAGAAAATCGCCACGCGCCCTAGGCGCACGACCGGGAAAAATAGCGGCGGAAGCATATTGGCGGGCCCACAGGCCAGGACATAAAACGCTTTGATAGCATGTTAAAGTTAGAAGAAAGAAGAGGGACTGCACTAGCAAGAATGGGGATACAAATAGGAAACCCTAGAAGGGTTGTACTCGCTATAGAGCACCCCACTACAGGCTAGAGCATAAGATAACATTCTGACACAGTACACCTATCAATCGATGATGGCGTACACGATACTACTGAGGAACGTCACTCCAACTCAACAACAAAACATACGGTCTTACCGAGGCTACGGCAACTCCGCGGAGCTCGTGTACAATCACTTGAAGAGCCTGTATCAAGCAACAGACAGCGTAAACCAAAGTCGGTTAATGGCGCAGTTGACAACGGTTGAAATGAAACAAGGGGAGAAAGGAATGGCATATATCAGTCGATTTCGCGAGTTGCGCGACAAGCTTCTTCGATGCGGAGGGTCGATTTCTGAAGACGCCTTCGTGACAGTCATCATCGGCGGACTCGGTCCTCAATGGCGCGCCACAAAGGCCATCCTCCGAGCTCACAGAAGAATCTCCGAAGCAGCACTTTGCGCCGAAGTCCATGCTGAGCAGCAAGACATGGACCTGCAAGAAGAACGACACAGAAAGAAGACATCAGCACCGGATTTCGCGTTCCACACTCAGCGACGTTACAACAACAACAACAACCGGCAGCAACACCCAAAGCCAGTACCCCCGTTCTGCCACATCTGCAAAACTTCAGGACACCCGTGTACACACTGCCCGAATCGACAACAGTCAAGAACTCCACAGCGGCAACTTCGACCTTCAAGCACTCATGTCGCCTCAACGCAAGCAAATCCGAAAACTTCAAAACAAGTCTCAACAACATCGACGAGACAACCTGCAAAAGAAACAAGAAACATCGTCAGCTGCATGGCAAGGCTGAGTGACTCCGGCATAACTGAGCCACCACCATACTTCTCACCAGAAGAACAACTCGACAACAGCACACCTCGTCGCGAGTCACTTCAACCGAACCCGACATACGCCGCCATCGCTCAAAGCGAGCCGTCCGGGAAGGATACATGGTTCTTGGACAGTTGCTGCGGACAGCACATGTGTTCCTCGGGACGCTTCGTTCAACGCGAGCACCGACTTCAACGAGAGGTCGTCATCACAGTCACCAATAACCAGAACCTGCGCACACGACGACAAGGGATTGTGCAACTTCAGTCACGAGAGACGAATGTCATACTACAAATGACCAAAGTCATAATAGCAGAAGGACTTGGCTACAACTTACTGAGCGTCAGTCAGTTGATGGCGAAAGGTGTCGAGAGTAATACGAATGGGTAAGTTGAGAGGTAGAAAGGTGGGGCCTAGGCTTAGTAGCCTAGGCCCGAGCTTTAGGTGTCGAGCGGTTTTGGGCCTAGGTAGGAGTTCGAGTGAGTTGAGAAAAGTTGGAGAAATGTGTGTGCTTCACTATAGTTTGGAAGTACATATAGCAAAGGAAACACATAAGGTGCACCACCAATACAAAGTTTAAATAACTACACTAACTACAGCTACAGGCAGTTACAAATATAAGTTGACACTCCCCCATAACTGCCTGCAGCAGGAGTATGTGCAGAATGCAACCTGCAGGTGTACACATGCAAAGTAATAACAAGCAAGCAACAGCAGGTAATGCAGGCGGGCTGACACTAGTTGGTCACCCCTTTCATCTCCTCACCCTCCTCCTTCCCCTCCCCCACACTGCTGCAGAAGCAGCAGAGAAGGGGGGAAGAGAGGAGAGGTGGAGGGACGGCTGCTTGTTGCCTCACACCCGCCACCCCAGTACCACTCCCCCTGCTCCCCCACATCCTCACACCCTCCCCCCCCAGCGGCAGCTGCAGCGGTGGGACTGAAAGAAGGAGGAGGGGAAGGGAGAGAGGTGACGCCAAACTCCAACACCCTCCACCCCCATACCCTCCTCCCCACGGATGCAGGGAGACAAAGGAGGAGGGGGGTGGGAAGGAAGAAAGCCGCAGAGCGGCGAAAAGGTGTCGGTGCAGTTGGGTCAGGGGCGGCTCCAGGGAGTGCAGGGGCGGAAAGGCCCGTCGCGGGCCAGTGCCACGGGGCGCACGACGGGTAGGAGAAGAAACCGGGCCCGATCGTGCGCCTAGGGGCGCACGACGAGCAGGGCACCATCGTGTGCCACGGGGCGCACGATGGGCAGATGAAGGGCACCGTCGCGTGCCACGGGGCGCGCGACGGGCAGAGAAGGAGCCACACACCCGTGGGCGGGACTAATTAAAAAAATCGTCACGCGCCCTAGGCGCGCGACCGAAAACTCATCGCGGAAGCGTAAGGCGGGCACACAGGCCAGGTCGTAAAAAGCTCTGATACCATGTCGAGAGTAATACGAATGGGTAAGTTGAGAGGTAGAAAGGTGGGGCCTAGGCTTAGTAGCCTAGGCCCGAGCTTTAGGTGTCGAGCGGTTTTGGGCCTAGGTAGGAGTTCGAGTGAGTTGAGAAAAGTTGGAGAAATGTGTGTGCTTCACTATAGTTTGGAAGTACATATAGCAAAGGAAACACATAAGGTGCACCACCAATACAAAGTTTAAATAACTACACTAACTACAGCTACAGGCAGTTACAAATATAAGTTGACAAAAGGCATACACCTCGAAGCAGACAGCACCACCCAAGAATTCAAGTTGTATCACGGGAGAGGAGGTCTCTCCATCAGCAAGGCGGTCCTCAAGAACAACGTCTTCGTCCTCGATTTTGTCCCTGACCTTGGCACCGCCGACAGCGACGACATCATTAACTTCACCATCTGGACACACCCTCCAGACCTTGATCCATACTTCAGTCCGGAAGGCTTTTGGTATTCACATACCATTCCAGAAGCAGAACGAACACGCGCGTTAGTAACAATACAACATTCAACAGCAGTAGAGACAACATCGGCAGCAGCAGAGACAACATCGGCAGAAACAACATCGGCAGCAGCAGAACCATCAACGGCAGCAACATGAACGTCAACACCAATCGCTGGTACTTCAACGACACCGCTCCTAATCGACGACACACCACCAACACCAGCACAACAGCTCCATCCAGCACCACGAGAAGTTCATCGTAGCGCAAACTTCACCGCCAGCTTCTACTCCAACTCCGATATGTACCGACGATCACCCTGACATCGCGCCGACGAAAGCACCTGGCACGCAAGGATGGGACACCCAAGCAACACAGTCTTAAACAATACGATAAGAGCAGGAGTACTCGACAAGGACTCACTTCTGCTGACCAACGGACGAGAACTCCAACGAGTACGCGGAACGTGCTTCACCTGCCCCGAAGGTGACTTACCACATCGACCGTTTACGCCTCATCAGAACCCGAGCACTTACTATTTTTGAGTACAACGCCTATTTTCGAAGTGCACGTACAATTGCCCAGAAAACCGCCGCGCGCCTCGGGGCGCTCGGCGGGAAGAAAAACTACCGCACGCCACGGGGCGTGCGGCACAGAGAGTAGGAGTAGCAGTTGCACCAGAAGCAACGAGGTGGTGAGCCCACCCACAGGATCGATCCAAGGGGATCGACCTGCTTTGATACCATGTGAAAGTTTAGAAGAAAGGAGAGCGTTGCACTAGCAAGAATGAGGATACAAATAGCAAACCCTAAAAGGGTTGTATTCGCTATAGAGCACCCCACTACAGGCTAGGGCATAACATTCTGACATACGCGACTACTAGAGAAAGCTGGGCTGCCTTCTCTTCGCAGCTGTCACCTGTCGTCCAGATCTATCGTACTCTGCAAGCCAGCTTGCCACCTACCTCAAGTGGCCCGAAACGGAACATCTAGCAGAACTCAACCGCGCTCTTCACTATCTCATTAGCACCCCGACGATTGGTCTAACTTACTACAAGAACGCAACTACGCCGCCTAAGTTAATCGGCTACGTCGACGCCGATCACGCTGGCGACTCCGACAACTGGCGTTCTCGCAGTGGCTACATCTACCGCCTCGAACCTATCGGACCTATCTCTTGGCAGTCGAGCAAGCAGGAATTAATTGCCCTCTCGTCAGCTGAAGCTAAATATATCGCACTCTGTTCAGCCACCAAGGAAGGACTTTACCTTCGCGAACTGCTGGAAGAAGCGAAGCTGGCTCAGTTACCCAGCTTCGCTCTGTTCTGCGACAACCAGTTGGCAATTCGCATTGCCAACAAGAACGGCTTCGCGAGCAGGACGAAACACATCGTCCTGCAATACTTCTTTGTGAAGGACGAGATCGAAAAGGAAGGCTTGAGCTGTCATACTACCCCACGTCCGAGATGGCAGCTGACTACTTGACCAAGAAGCTCGGAAAGTAGAAGTTCGAGTACTGCATGCTGCTGACTGGACAGAGCCACGTCACCAACAGCGACACTCCAGAAGCGAAGGGGGGTGTTGGAAACAATTATGGTTAAGCGCCTCTGTCGTGTCGAAACACTAAGGCACAAGCGAAGTAAAGCATATCGAGGCACTAGCGAGTCAACCCTCGGAGGTTGAAGTAACTGCTGGAGGTTACGCGAAAGTCAAAGGTCAGCGACCTTTGACTTTACAAGTACAGCGCGACAGCAAGGACACACAACTGACTCACTACAGAGCAGTTGCCCGAGTCGTCACTGTATCGAACCGCAACAGCAACAGTAAAACTGTTATAACCGTATCCTTTCATATTCCTTGTACTCCTATATAATCTTGTATCTCTTTGTTTTGATCAACTTACTTTGCCCTCACATACTAGCGCAAGGTCGTTCACAATCTCTTCAAAACGCTTCCGCCATTACATTGATCCTAAGGGCTTTTCTCAGCCCAACACATTACTAGTATGGGCTTTGTAAGGTGCATACTAAGCAATAATTTGTGTTGGGTATTTCATGCCCATAGTGGTAGCTCCTACTCTCTGGCTCTTAATCGCTTCTGTGCTTATACTGTGCCTTTCTCTTAGGGCTGACCACGTGGTCGCAGCATTTCGACACACGTCATTTGTCGCGTCATTGGCACACGTCGATGCTCTGCCACGCTGGGATGCATGTAGCTAACAGATCAAGAATCCGGATCTAACTCGAGCAATCGCTACGCACCACATGTACGTGTGCGAGCTCTCAGGACCCACACTTCAGTGGTGAGTCTGACTGACCAGGAAGGGGGCAGACGAGATGAAACTTGTATTTCCGCAGTGAATGCCATTTCCACACCCAATTTATAAATTTGTTACCACTCCAGCTCTGTAGCGAATTGGCGATATCGCATAACAAAATTTCTCGTCGCCGCGCCACTACCCCAGCACCAAGCAGAGTCGTGTCGTGTGAGCGTGCTCCGTCCAGTTCAGAGTATGGTTCCTGGTCCCGGCAGCGCGTCTCTCGTGGGTCCTCTCTCTCCGTCGCCACTGTCGTCGCTAGCGTCGCTCTCGTCGCAATCTCTTTCCATGCGACACTACCGCTGGGCTCTACTCGCCATACCCCTCGCTCCCACTCTGATCCTCTCGGCTCCGCGCGCCCACGCCGTTATGGCTTCCGCCTCCGGTCCGTCAACGTCAACGTCAGCGGTTGCTGATTCGTCAAAGTTCGGCTACCGGTCGACGGCGGAAGATGTGACGGCGGGCGTCGATTTGAGCGGCAAAGTGGCAATCGTAACGGGTAAGAGCATCGATGATTCGGTTTCGCCGTATGCAGTAAACGGGAGGAAACGGGAGACAAATTGGAGAGGAACGGGGAGAAACGGGGAAAAGAGGGGGGAATTACGGGGGTGAGGGGAGAGAATGTGGATCACAAATATCCTGCGTGTTTGTGTGGTACGGGAAAGGATAAAAGGGCACGGTAGAAGGGAGGACATGTGAGGGGACGGGGGGGGAGGAGGGGGAGGTGGTGAGGGGACGGGGGGGGAGGAGGGGGAGGTGGTGAGGGGACGGGGGGGGAGAAGGGGGAGGTGGTGAGGGGTAGGGATGCTTTGATACCGCAGATGTGAGGCACGGGAGCAGCAAGTGCAGCGGCAGTATGAGCTATACTCTCCCACTCTCCTACCTTCCACCCAACGAGTCTTTACCACCCTTGCATTTCTTTCTCGTCTTCGCCTTTCTCAATCAAACTGATCTTTCTCATCCGCTCGTCCGCTCGTCCGCCCGTCCTCTCGTCCTTGCCCGTACTTCCACTCCCCTCTCTTTTCCACCCTAGTCTCTTCCCCGCGCCATTGTGAAAAAGCGTGTAAGACGCCTCAAAAGCTGTTTGTGCCATGTCTGAAAAAAAATTCAGTCCTCCACTCCAGCCTTCCTCCTCCCCCGCGCCCAAATTCATTTAGCACGCGCGAATTCCCCTTCCCGCGCGAACCTCGTCCTCGCGCCAATGTTCTCCCCACGCGCGCATGTCGCCCCTCTCTCTTTCCGCCGCGCTAATTTCTTCTTCCTCCCCCTCTCCCGACACCCTTCTGGCGCGAATTTCCTCCCCCCAGGCGGCAGCAGCGGCATCGGCACGGAGACGGCGCGGGTGCTGGCGCTGCGAGGCGCGTCCGTGGTGCTCGCGGTGCGGAACACGGAGGCGGGGGAGGCCGCCAAAGCCGCCATCATCAAGGACATCGAGGGGCGGAGCGCAGCGGCGGCGGGGGTTCCGGCGGCGGTGCGCGAGCGCGTGAGCGTGATGCCGCTGGATTTGGCGTCGCTCAAGTCGGTGCGCGCGTTCGCCGCGGATTTCTTGCGCCTTAACCGCCCGCTGCACCTGCTCATGTACGCGCGGAGATGGAAGGGGTGCGGGGGGGAGGGGAGGGGGCGAGGGAGGGGGAGGGGGTGAGTGGGTGAAGAAGGGGGAGGGCAGGGGTGGAACGGGGTGGAGGGGCGGGAGGAGGGGAATGGGAGGAATAGGGGGAATGGGGTAAATGGAAGGGCATTGGGCTTTTATGATAACAGGTTCAGTTGAGTTTAAATGATCTGCTGTTGGTGCTGCCCCACTGCCATGCTGCCCCACTGCCATGCTGCCCCACTGCCATGCTGCCCCACTGCCATGCTGCCCCACTGCCATGCTGCCCCACTGCCATGCTGCCCCACTGCCATGCTGCCCCACTGCCATGCCGCCCCACTGCCATGCTGCTCCACTGCCATGCTGCCCCACTGCCATGCTGCCCCACTGCCATGCTGCCCCACTGCCATGCTGCCCCACTGCCATGCCGCCCCACTGCCATGCTGCTCCACTGCCATGCTGCTCCACTGCCATGCTGCTCCACTGCCATGCTGCTCCACTGCCATGCTGCTCCACTGCCATGCTGCTCCACTGCCATGCTGCTCCACTGCCATGCTGCTCCACTGCCATGCTGCCCCACTGCCATGCTGCTCCCCTGCCATGCTGCTCCACTGCCAGGCTGCTCCACTGCCATGCTGCTCCACTGCCATGCTGCCCCACTGCCATGCTGCCCCACTGCCATGCTGCCCCGTGCCCCATCACAACACACTTCCCTCCTTCCCTCGCTCCCTCCCTCCCTGCTTCCCTGCCTACCTACCCTTTATGCTAGTCATTCTACTGTTTCGCCTTATTTATTCCTCTCGTTCAGACCTTCCCCCTCTCCCCGAACCCACCCCACCGTCCCCTTCCCTTCGTCACTTCCTATGCAACAACCCCCCACTCGCCTGCCCAACCAATCCCACCACGGCCCACCCAATCTCAACCAACCCCTCCCCATCCCACCCCACCCCGGGCAGCAACAATGCGGGCGTGATGATATGCCCGTTCATGCTCACTGCGGACGGCCATGAGAACCAGTTCGGCACCAATCACGTGGGTGAGTGCAGGGAGGCAACCACGTGGGTGAGTGTAGGGGAGTAGCGACCATGAGGGTGAGTGCAGGGGAGCAGCAATGACGTGGGTGAGGCAAGCAAGCAGATTACATGCGCACAGCATGGGTGGCGGGGTGGAGTGTGAGGGAAGAATGGGAGTGGTGGGAGTGAAGCAGAGTCTACCAGTTGGCTGTTCTCTTTCTAGGCTCGAGTGCATTTGTTGCATTCCTAAGCTCATGGAGCTCTCAGGCTGATCGCACCACTCCTCCACTGCCTCCCTCTCCCCCTTTCTTCCGTCCCTCCGCCCCCCCTCCCCCTCTCTTCCCTTTCACCCTCTTCCCCCCTTCCCCTGCACACACCCCCCACCCAATTGCATCGCACGTCGTACCCCCTTTAGGCCACTTCCTGTTGACCAACCTGCTGCTGCCGAAGCTCAAGGAAACTGCCAAGCAGGAGGGCGCAGAGGCGCGCATCGTGATCGTGTCCTCCGCCGCGCACCAGTTCCCGTACCCGGGCGGCATCCGCTTTGACGCCATCAACGCCAAGGAGGGGTACGACTCGGTGAGGGCGTACGGGCAGTCCAAGCTCGCTAATATCCTGCACGCACGGGAGCTCGCACGGCGGCTCAAGGTGCATGGCTGTGGGAGAGGAGGGTGTGTATGAAGGAGTGGGTATGTGGGTGTTGTGTGAGTGAGTGGGTGTGTGTGTGAGTGTAGTTGGGTGGGTGGGTGGGTATGTATGTGTGCGGATGTGTGCGTGAGAGTGTGCATTAGTGGGAGGGAAGGGACGAAGCAGGCAGGGGAAACGCGCCCAAAAAGCACATTTCATGCTACGTCTCAAATTCCTCACCAAAAATCTCTTCCTCTTCTTCCCCACTCTCCCTTATGATTTTTTTTTGTTTGTTTTGAAAACCTCAGTGCAGGTATGACTGTAAATGCTCTGTACCCATGGGTGATCGATCCTTCAACAATGGAAAAACCCCCTGCTTCCCTCGCCAACACCCTCCATCACCCTCCCTCCTCCCCTCTCTCCCCTTCCCTTCTCTCCCTTGATCCATGCGAGCAGGAGGAGGGTGCAGGAGTGACAGTGAACGCGTTGCACCCGGGGGTGATTGACACCAACCTCTCACGTCACATTGTGCCACCAGGGACCATCTGGCACACCCTCGGACGTACGTGGGGCGGTGGGCGGGTGTGCTGTGCGGGTGGGTGGGTAGGCGGGTGGGTGGGAAGGGCAAAGTGCGTCAGGGCATGCCACATGGGGTCTGCAGAACCGTTGGTTTGCTGAGGTCCAAGCAGTGTAGTCTGTGGACCAGGGTGAACCAGCTGTGAGCCAGATCTTGGACAATGCAAGTGCACTAGATAGTTACCATGTAACACAACTGGTCTGAGGCCTGGTTCGTTTGGGTAGGAGCCATTTATACAGGGCCGCCATGGAAAATGGCAGGGGTTGATACTGGTCTGTTAGACCAGTCCGCGAAAGCAAGTGCGACGTGTGTCGAACTTGTTCCGCGGAGCCAATATCGCTTTGAGGTACAAGGCAAAGCCTTTCGTGCTACAGAGTGCCGTAAGCGACTGTCCGGTGTGTCTTCTACAAGGCACACCCTGGGACATAGTTGATGGGGCGGCCAGGTAATTAGGTGGTGTAGAAAGAGGGGGAAGGAGGGGCGTCTGAGGGGCTGATGGTTTGATGGAAGCTGTTTGGCACAAGCATGCTTTGTTCTTTTGCAGTAACTCCTGCTCGCTGCTTGGAGCTTGCTTCTGCGACGGCTTGGCTGAGCACCCATTGTTGTCATACTACCACTCGTCCTGTGCTTGTGCCTGTCCACTGCTGCCCTGCCATGTTGTGCAACCAACCACCAGGGGGAGCGTACAGCCTGGTGTTCCAGTGGTTCATGAAGACCATTCCTGAGGTACCCTCCACCTCCACCTACTTCATACCTCGCCTCACTGCACTTTGCCGTACATTACCTTAGGGGAGTGGTTAAAGTAGCTCTTCACCGCACTGCACACACTCTATATTACTCTGCACCCTACTGATATGCCTCCAACCAACCCTGCTGCAAGAGCGATTTGACGTGATTGAAGAAGAGCTGCCTCAGCTTTCACCAACCCCTCACCCCTCCTCACCCTTCCTCACCCCTCCTCACCCCTACTCACCTCACCTCACCTCACCTCCCCTCACCTCACCTCACCTGACCTCACCTGACCTCACCACCGCCCTCTGTTACTGCTGCATGGTTGGGTGCCCGCACGCACCCATGCATGGTTGGGGGTGTGCGTACTTTCCCATGCATGGTTGTTCCAACTTATCCCCATGCTCATGTGCACACTCCCTGCAACAAAGCCCAGTGGGGCTACTTCTCATGCTCCCTCATCTTTCAACCTTTCCCCCCTGCCCATTCTTACTCTCACACACTCTCTCTCTCAAGCCACTCTCGCATCGTGCCGCCTCGAGGCACACACCCTGTGCCTCGCTCCCCCCCCCCCCCCCCCCCCCCCCCCCCCCCCCTTACACACTCCTTGCACCTCCACCTGACCGCCCCGTATCCTCCTCTCCCCACTCTCCTCTCCTCCCTTCTCTCAGGGTGCGGCCACCTCATGCTTCCTGGCGGCGCACCCCTCAGTGGCGGGTGCAAGTGGGGGCTACTACGCAGACGCGCGGGCAGCCGAGGGCAAGGCGACGGTTTTGAGCAAGGACATGGAGCTGGCTGGGAAGCTGTGGGAGCTGAGTGAGCAGATGGCGAACAAGGAGTAATGCTGAATGGTGTGTTTTTAATACGCTTCAAAAATGGTTCTTGAGGCGTCTAGAAGAGCAAGGGGCGGTTCTGAGCAAGGACAAGGGGCTGGCTGGGAAGCTGTGGGAGCTCAGTGAGCAGATGGCCAGCAAGGAGTGATGCTGATTGGTGTGGTGTGAGGGAGAGAGTGGAAGAGATTGGGAGAGAGTGGGAGAGAGTGAGAGAGTGGAGGAGTGAGGGTGAGAGTGTGAGTCGTGTGCAGTGCAGGTGTGGGTGAATGGCTTGGTAGGCTTGGTTCTTGCGCAGGCTGGGTTACATTTCAGGGTGCAGGCAGCTCGATGGGCAGAAGCTTGTTGCATTGTATATCACAGCAAGCATGTGCAGCTAGGAAGTGGAGAAGCTGTGGGAGTGAGCAATGCCGGATGTAGGTCGGATGACTGGGAGAGCAAGGATGATGATGTATGCGGGTGTATAGTTGATGGTGGTTATGCGAATGTGTTACAACGTGTTGTTACAACCCCTTGTCAGGCAAACCTGTTGTCACCTTCGCGTTTAACCGTACAGTATAGCAAGTTGTCTACACTGAAACATATTTAACCACACAACACTGTCAAGATGTGTCTGAGGGCATGTTCTTATTTATCAAGTCAACCTTTTATCAGGCTCGCGTCATAGCACACTGAAATTTCCCTAAACCCAAATACCTTTGCGTCAAATTTTACCAGGCAAAAATGCGAAGCCGATACGAGGTATCCCTGATACGGTAAGGAGCCTTAGGAACATGCCCTAATAGCGGCGTACAAACATACCTTTACAGATGAGTGGAGGTTACAGACCAGGCTTTTCAGAATGTGAACAATGGAAGAATGATTAGTAACGGTTGTGATACAAATGCCTATTCGAAACTAAAAGCAGATTGCCTAGCACGGTTGGTATTGAAGTAGGACACCCTCATAGAATGTGCCTAACTCACGGTTGACGCACGAAACACATGACAAGTTGACATCTGCCGACGCTTTGATAAGGTATCAAGGCCAAGCTCTTGATCGTGTCGACGCCGACGTCCTCGGGCTTCACGTGCTGTTCGGCGTCTACTTTGTCGTAGAAGCAATTGTCTGCCGTCGTGGAACAATCGTCCGCCGAGTCACGACCTCCGTCGAGATCGACATCGGCTTCGTCGAGCAGGGGCGAAAGTCTGTGCAGAGAACGCAGCCAGTGTACGGTAGCGTGCTTGACCGAGCACCTCGCCCGCACACGACACGAGCAGCATCTCGTCGCCCGCGTTCTGCAGTCTCACGCCGCTGTCCTTCAGATGGGCGACCAAGAGCAGCTTCGCCTGCACTCCCCGGACATAGAACACATCGAGGATGAGGACCTGTTTCCCGGCCTCCATGTGTAGAGTGACGGTGCCACGGCCTTCGACGATCTCTAGTGCCTCGTTGAAGCCACGCACGTGGCGCACGTCGCCCCTAGGCTGCATGACGACAAGGCTGTTAGAGGTCCACTTGTGATCCCCGATTGATCCTAGGGAAGGGTTACAGGCAGGTTGGCCCGGGGGGTTATGGGTGCACTCACCCGTTACATAAACAAGCCCTTTTATCCCAGTGGTTAGTGGCTGGGATTCTGACATGGTATCAAGGCGAAGGTCTTGGGTTCGAATTCCAGTGTGTGCACTCCGGGCATCCCAGTGCGGGGGGTGTCAGATGTCCACTGGTGATCCCCGATTGATCCTAGGGAAAGGTTACAGGCAGGTTGGCCTGGGGGGTTATGGGTGCACTCACCCGCTACACAAACAAATCCTTTTATCCCAGTGGTTAGTGTCTGGGATTCTGACAAAGGCCTCCTTTGTCGCCATCAGATGGTGAGAGCAGCCACCAGCACCACCATAAAGTTCGCCTGCATAGCGGCCGCGATCGCCTTGAAGTCCTCGCCAATCTCCGATGCCGACGATACGGTCGACTCCACAACGTCGACCATCGAGCACGACGCCTCTGTCAACCGCAATTGTGCGTTGGCCCGTCCTCGCTTGGGTGGAGCCGACTTCTTAGTCGGGCGTGCAGAGAGTGCAACCTACCAACTGCAGTGGGCGACATCGACATGAGCGCGCAGGTTGACATGTCGGTCAACCTGCACGGGGCCACTACGAAGCCGCCGACGACGGGCGCTAGCGGCCGACTTCAACTTAGGGATGTCGCCGACCTTGTGAAGTCGGCGGCCCAGATCCGCTGTGGTCAACGGGAGGAGGTCGACAAGGGAGGGAGTCGACCTGGGAGGATGCCGGCCTGGTGGCGTCGACCTGGTTGCTCGGTCGATCAAGTTACCCGGGCGAGGTGGATCTGCGGAGCTGTGCAATCGTCGCCCAGGTGGTTCAGGCAAAGCTGACCTCGGACGTGGTATCCCAAGGTCGACATGGCGGATCAGGTGCAATCGTGCGCACGTGGTCGGCTTAGCGTCTGCGTTGTGCACGTGATGGGGCACAAAACGCCAACCAGCTGCGAGCACCAGCGAAGCGGGTGCGCTGTTGTCATGCAGGTGCAACGCTGTGCAGCCGCCCTGCAGCAGCGTTGGCACGCCGTTGACTTGCAACGCTGGCAGGTTGCCACCTCGCACTGCTGGAGTGCGGTCGACCTTGCTGCATTGGAACGCGGCCGACCGTGCTGTGCTGGAGGTCAACTTGCATGCTTGCTAGCATCTGATGTAGTCTGTATTGCTTTGCCTTGTTCAACCATTGTTGTCAATGTTTACTAGTGAAACTTTTGCCATTTTTTTCCCATGAATGGGCAAGTAGAGAGAACACGAGCAAACATTAAGGAACGCTACGATCACCACTGCAAGCGTGCCTATCCCGTGGTCGAGCTCCCGTTGTATGGGTTATCTCCGCAGCCTCGCCATCGCCTCGACCTTTGCTGCAGGAGGAGGAGTCGGCGTCTTTCGCCGACGACGTCGACTTCGACGCCTACTTCTCCTTTCGCGACTGGCTGTCTCGACATCAACGACCACCATCGTACTTCATGTGGCTTCCGTTGTCTTCATCCTCGGACTTTTCGCAATCGGGACACTCGAAAAAGAGGTGGTCGGGTTGCCATAGATCCAGCACTCGCGTCGTCGACCATCGCTTCTTCGACCGATGTCCCATGCCAACTTCGACCAGTCGGCGACGGACGCCGACGTTTCACCTCCGCTACCATCTCCGCTCGACGTCCCACGCTGCCCCTGTTGACGACCTTGCTTCTTCGGGGTAGCGTAATTCGCCTACGGAAGCAGCATCATGGGCCTCCTGACCTCTTGCATGGCCTCGTCCTTGCTGATGTGCGAGGTCAGCGTGTCCTCGTTTAGCGACTGGCGAATCATCATCATCCGGAGCATCATGTTGAAGCCCGACGGAAGACCCTTCACGACGTGCGTGATGCAAGACACCGTCGAATAGTCAATGCCGACCATCCGCATGTCGGCCAGGATCTGTCGAACACGGTTGCAGTAGTCTGTCGCTGACTTCTGCTCGCCCATCCTAAGGTGAGTCAGGTGCTCCCACCTGACCCATGTACAAGTTGGTGGTAGACTAGTACGAAGACAGGATGAACTGCCATGCCTGATGGCCGGAGTCCAGCAGAAGTCGACCCGACTTCACGACAATCTGCACCATCAGCGAGCAGCATCAAGAAATAACCAGGTAGGTCAGCAGGTGAGCGGTGCGGAATTCCGCCCGCAGCTCAACGACAACCACATCTGACGTCTCTACGTTGCCGTCGGCGAAGCACTTCAGCCCGACAATCTCCAGCTGAGGCTCGATCGACTCCCTCCACATGAGAAGATCATGTCGACCCACCAGAAGCACGGGCACATCAATCTTGTCCGTCGTAAATTTCAAGTAGCTGTACGCCGACGCGATCCCGCCCGCCGACACGTGCGTTGAAGAGCCCGGCCTGACTCCGCTCCGTTGCGGGGAGCGAAGTCGACCGTCGACGTCGCCGTGCGAGCTGCCCGCGTCCGTGTCGACCGCTGCACTCGTGCATGTATCCCACCGACTTTGACGTCAGCATGCCTGATCATTCATCTTGACGCCCTTGTGCTCTCGTCGCTGCCGACTTGGTCACCGCCGTCGACCAGCTCGTCAATGCTGCCTTCGTTGCGTAACGGTGGAGGAGAGGCGGACGCATCGTCTGCTGTAGCACGGGGAGGCGGGTGGTCGCACGCCCACTGCGCGCGAGTGCCTAGGAGTGCCCACTCCAACGGAACCTCGCCGAACTCGCCAGCCGTATGGCGTCTCCTAACATTATCCGCATGAAGTACTAAGCGAGATAGCTGAGCAAGCGACATACATGAAAACGTAGGCACCGTCGCCGGTCCGCTATGACACAGCTTGTGTAGCAAGCGGAAGCGACACACAGACAAATAATGTTGCTTGCGGTGGTGTCCTAACGGAACGAACCTGAGTTAAGTAAAGAAGCTGCCACAAAAAAATGCACGAAAAGCTTTGTGAACCCAAAGATTTGCAAGCTTGGCTGTCCTAGGTTCATCAGAAGAAGTCATCTCGAATATCTTTGTTGGCTCCCGAACGCTTTGTGCCTTGGTACATAGGCTTAGACAAACATAATGAGGAAGAGAACTTGCGTACTAAGCGAAATAGTCGAGCAAGCGACATACAATATATGGCATCTCCAAGGTGTCCTCTACACTGCCGGCTTCTCCCGACGTCAGCACGAACTGCCGGCCTACGAACAACTTAGGTAGGTGATAAGTCAACTACTTATCCGAGGGTAACCTGTAGGGCCGTCCACGCTCACCACACCATGCGAAGAGTTACTTTACAACGCAGCTGGACTATGGGAAAAACACGGGCGGTACGAATGATCGTAGCGTTCCTTGGGTTCCCTAGCACTTCGTTCACAGGGCAAAACTGCATGAGTTTCAATGGCAAAAGTTGAGAATACAGGATGCAAAGTAGCAATGGCAAAGTGTTTACATCTGGAACCTAGCAGCCTAGCGACCAGTCAGGTCGACCTCCAGCGCAGCAGCAACA